TCTCCTGTCTCGTGCACGAGCACCTGATACACATTAATCAGTTTATGTAGCTCATTTACACACTTTTCCTGAAGGTAGAAGCGTTTGTTGAATCTGACGTGACATGTTCGTACGAACCCTTTGTACGAACAAAAGTAAGAGAAATTTAGGAGAAGAATACAAACATGTTCTTGCATGAGGCCCATTGACTCTAAACACCATGCTCAAGACACACCCCACTGGACCAGAACCAGGTAGAGTCATGGACTGGTCCAGTCAAATTCTAGACCTCAGTCCAACTGAGAGTCTCTGGTTTGAGTCAAAAATTGTTGGCGACAATCAGCATCTAGCTTAAGGAGCTTCAGATGTTTGGTTATGAAGGACAAATACATAAATATATAAATTATTGTACAAAATAATGTTCAGCATGTTTTCTGCAGTGATTGCACCTCCTTTAAACTGGATGATGGGCCTGTTGTAGTGGTCCTGATCCACAGGAGCCGTTAAAACAAGACTGGATGATAGCAAATTCAGTCTTCAGTGCAGAGGTAAATMTCATGCTGCCACATTCTTAGTACTTCCTATATATAAAGGTTCCTTGCTGTTTGAAGCATCCTTACAGAGCCTTACCTTGCGTTTTTCCTCCAGAATAGAAAACAAACAGCTGAATTTGTCACACACACTCTGTTTCTGAATCCTGTAGTTCTCCTGCGAGACAGAAGGAAACCAAACCTAAAACCRGATGAACGTTCCAGCTTTAAGCTAATAAAGGACACATTTTCTCTGTGACACAAAATTTAATAARCTCAGAACAAACAACTAAAACTTTATATAAAACAGTACACCGTTTATCGTTTTTATATAATGTTAAATTACAGTAACTACGAAGAACAGATTTAAATAAACTCTGCTGTACAACTGTGGCCTTTCAAAATGTAAAACTTCAAGGATATAAAAATGAAAAAAACAGGACACACTTATACATCAGAAACAAAAAGGAAAATAAAATATATGAGTACTTTATCAAACAATAGCTGATGTGAGCTATCTTTTAGGTTATGTTATGAACATTGCTGCCATCTTAAAAGCCATCATATTGGATAAAAGTCAAAATTTTCCAAAGAGTGGGTTATACAGCATTTCAGAGAAGATCAGAATTGCTCAGAAATGGATTGCTGCAATCATAATGTTCAGTATCTCTTGTGGTTCAAAAGGTARCAACAGAAAGTTGCAACAGCAACAACAACCAGGAACGTTGCCTGTGATGGACCTTCGATGTGTTCAGTGTGTTGTCCCTGGTGCTGAYCACAGAGCTTACCTGTGACAAACAACAGCTTTACACTTTCTGTACTAGCATCATTTTGATCTTTGGCACACAAGGTGTTGATTCAAGGAATGCTACTTTTAAATGTTTCAGTCCCAGTGCAAATACTTTGGCCTTCGTCCTACACCAGATTAAATGAAATAAACTGYACCTCAACAAGTTGTCACTACATTTTATGGAAGTAAATTCATTTTTGTTTTAGTGATAGTAACACTTACGCACCTCTACGGTTCTACGAGTCTCCTCCAGCTCGTTGAGAACAGACTGGACTCTGTCACTGAACGCCACCAGGGAGGTTACACCTTCACTCAGTTTATCCTGAAAAATACACAACACACTACTCATTTTTTCTGTGTTCTCACTTAAATTTAAATCAGACTGCAAGTCCAACCCTGTGATTAAGCTGTGATCTGTGCATTGTGTACCCTGCCTTTTACATAATGATTGGTGACAATAAGGACAATACAAACTGAGATAGCTGCCACAGCTAAGCAACCACTGCAAACACAAAAATGGTTAAAACTCAGTCAGTTTACAGATATTGGGTTATCTTAGTGTGGTGATAGCCTCCTTACATCCTCTAARTGAAAAACACTGACTGCTGATGTCTCATTACTTGATTGGAAAACTATGATACTGATGAAACTGTATGATTTATTAAACAATTGAAAACAATTACATCAATAAAAATGGCATTACAATGTCATATAGTGT